TCACACGCTCGCACACTCGCTCGCTCACACGCTCGCTCACACACACTCGTTCGCTCACTCACACGCTCGCTCGCTCGCTCACTCACACACTCACTCACCCGCTCGCTCACTCACTCACTCACACACACGCTCGCTCACTCACTCACTCACACACACACTCGCTCACTCACACGCTCGCTCACTCACACACTCGCTCACTCACACGCTCGCTCACTCACACGCTCGCTCGCTCACTCACACTCTCGCTCGCTCACTCACATACTCGCTCGCTCACTCACACTCTCGCTCGCTCACTCACATACTCGCTCGCTCGCTCGCTCACTCACGCTCGCTCACTCACTCACGCTCGCTCACTCACACGCTCGCTCGCTCGCTCACACGCTCACACGCTCGCTCGCTCACTCACGCGCTCGCTCACTCACACGCTCGCTCGCTCGCTCACTCACACACGCGCTCGCTCGCTCGCTCACACACACTCGCTCGCTCGCTCACTCACACACTCGCTCGCTCGCTCACTCACACACTCGCTCGCTCGCTCGCTCACACACTCGCTCGCTCGCTCGCTCGCTCACACACTCGCTCGCTCGCTCACTCACACACATTCAATATGAGAGCAGTTAATTTGAAGTTACATTTATGTCCAGAAGCAAATCAAGGGGCCATATCAGTATTTGCACAAGGATCAGGGAAACTGCACAAAAACCTGATCTAGATGGGGGTTATTAATCCAGAATTGGAAGTACAATACTTGTTACAAGTTATTTAGAATTATCCAATCTCAATGGTAAATAATATACTAAATGTCATTAATAAAATTAATATTACTTTCCGTTTGGATGTTTGGTATAGTCTCTAATTATATAGAAACAGTTGCGCAGCAGAAAAGATTTTACTTGAGACTTAAACTTCCGTGTTGAATTTACTTGTTTAATGTCCTCCGGCAAGGTGTAAAATGTATTTAAATGTGAATTTTTTGTAGTAAGTTGTTGATAGTCTCCTGATGAATATGATTACTATGTCGAGTGAATTGAAAGAATGTGCGTGCGTGTGAGCGAGCGAGCGAGCGTGTGAGTGAGCGAGCGTGTTTTTGAGTGTGACCCCCCCCCTCCCCAAATGACTGGCCGCCTTATTGAAGTTACACTTTTTCATTGATAGTCTCCGCTTTCATAGCGGAGAAAAAGGGCGGGCAGTGACCGCAACTAATAACACCGGTTATGTCCCTACTGCTTTGTTGAGTAGCGGCACTGCCCTGCAACCTCTGGGACTGGCACGTGGCACTGGACGTGGCAGGTAGTTGTGGCGAACGAGGGCGGCTGATTCTCCCCGGCCGTCGGCTTCCCGGCGTTTGCAGGCGGCACCTCAGTCCTTCCGCAAAGGGGCGGGTCCCTGTGTCTGTGCACCTTGTCGCGCCGTCGCGATGACCCGTTCTCGGCGACGGTGTCTCGGATTCATCGGCGGAGGCAATGCAGCGATCAAAACCTACCGTGACTATCACGTACGGGTGGCTAAGGCACCCACGGACGCAGTGACAAATTAGAGCCATCAATCGATTTAGAAGCTCTCAATCACAGGGAACAAGGCCCATTCAATGCCGATATCATTTTAGAAATTCAAGTGAATTTGTCATCTGAGCATTCACGTAAATGTCCGAACTCGAAGCACTTCGGTCTGTGCACTCGAGGTGCTCTTCTAGTGAGTCACTAACTCAATCTCGATCACTTCCCAGCTCTATCTTTCTTTGCGGCCCTGTACTTCGATTAACGAATGCTCGGAACTCCCTTGCTCCATTTCTTAGCATAGACTTCGGCGAGTATTGGCGAGTGTGCTTTCGAACCGAAGGTGACGTAAAAAGTTTACATAAAAAAAATGTGCCCTTCGAGTTTCGGCGGCAACACTACGGCCACGAGCCTGAAGGGTGCGCCCTTCCTTTCTTCCGATCAAGAGAGTGCGGCATGGAAGCACTCTGCTCCTGGTTGTTTTCAGTTACTCGCTAACGTTCGCGGCGGCCTGTCAATATTTTTACGGGTGCGATTTTACTGCTCGCAGCTGCGCGGTGCTGGGCGCCCCCCACCCACCCCCACCCCATTCGTCAGTGGTCGGTGGATGCACGCGGTGTCTTTTTGAAACCCTTCTTATTGGGTGAGAGAATCGTTTTGACCATTGTGACACCGGGCGTTTTTTTTTGGGGGGGGGGTAGTCTCCTAAAGATCGCGAGGCGACTGTTCTTAGGCTACCTTTCAGAGGGCTGGTGTGCAGAAACTTCTTCCTTGTGTTTCCCATGGGGACGGACGGTCCTGCATCGGGCCGAGTTCCTCCCTCCTTTTCGCGGTCATAAATCCGCCCACACTTGGACAAAGGCACATGCCGCCGCCGTCAGCACACTTGTCTGTGCCGCGGATCCCCGATGCCCCTAATGGTTTAATTTGCCAGCCTTGGAGCGTCGCGAACTCAACACCTCTTTGTTCTGAAAGCTGGCGTATCGTTACAATATATACGGACTATTACAGTTAATATAGAGATAGTTATGTAACGCTGCGGAAAATCGACTTCCAGATTTCAACAGAAATTTAGTTTTGGGGACCCCAAAACCAACTAAACCAACCAACCATACCAAAAAAGTGTTTGTAATGGTATTGATTGTATTTTTATCTCTTATTACCTGATGATGGAGACACAGCATGAGCTCTGAAACGTAAAAAGCTTAATAAAATCATGTTGATAAGATAATACCTATATAATGTGATTGTCTGTAAACCAGTGACCTATTTTAATATACAAAAAAGTGTTGTTTGTTATGCAATATATCTGTATGTCTGCAAACAACATTAGCATGTAAACTATGTGGAGGATGCTTTCCAAAAGGAGTATTCTTTAGAAAATTAACTAGAACAAGAATGTCTATGCCATTCTATGGCACCACTAGTTTACTTTCTTTTATCTTAGTACATACAGAGAATAGAGAAGCAATGTAATTCTGTAAAAAAATGTAAATGTTGGTTAAAATACACATTTTGGAGATTCCTGGCACAGGAAAAGTATTTTTTCAAACATGCTCATCTGTCTCATGGGCAGCAATAGTGCGTAAACCAATCACAGTATTTTCTCCAAAAGTGATATTTGTTTATTGATCTTGATGCACATATGGACATGTGAATTTGAATGAAAAAATGAAGCCCATAGGACATTTTCAAAATATTTTTACAAATGACTGGAAATTTTTTATAATTTTTCTTTGAATATTTTTCCCTATGGAGCAAAGATGGATGCGGGGCGGCGGCGATGGTGTAACGGTTAGCGTACTGGACTGTTGTACCCAAGTTGGCGGGTTCAAACCCGATCGAAGCCGTGGATTTTTAAGGGCGAAAAAATCCTTCGTACGCCTTCCTTCGGAGGGGAAGTAAAGCCGCCTGTTTCTCGCCCAGAAATACCTCCTTTCTCTCCTAGTTGGTGAAAGGAGCGTAGCGAAATTTGCGTGGTCAGACGGAAGAGCGGGCCTGATGGCCCGAGTCTCGCCACGTAAAATAAGGCAAATTCAATTCAATTCAAAGTGCTCTTATAAATGGAGCATAGATCCTATTTTTATAAAATCTGAAATTTTCAAAAAAGACCTAAGTTGAAACCTAAAATCACATTATTAGTGATGTAAATTTTTATTTTTCTAAATGAAAAATATTCATCAAAATTAGATCTTTAAATAATATTGAAAAAGTTGTTATTAAAATGAGTAGTTTTCACATAATTTTGAGTGAAATTTTGACCAAATTTTTAAAAATATGTGAACTATATTTTCTCAAATATTGCTCAAAATGTTGTGCACAAATAGAGCTAAGAGCACTGAGCACATTCTATTGGGCTAGTTTCCATTAAAACCCATGAAGTTAGAGATTTCTTTCTTTAATCAATCTGTTCAATCGCAATATCAGTAGTTTCGAAATATCACAGTATCAGTATCATCAGTATTAATTGAAATATTAGTAGTATTTTAAGTAAATTTGAGTAAATTTATGAGAACTTTGTTAGATTCCACAAGCACTGCTATCTGAAGAATTCCAGGCCTATGCCTGGGCATTAGAT